CACACACACACACACACACACACACACACATACACGGACACAGACATGCGCGCACACACACACACACACACACACAGACATGCACGTACACAGACATGCACACACACCGACAGACATGCGCGCGCACACACACACACAGACACACACACAGACACACAGAGACATACACACAGAGAGACACACACACACCATCCCTCTTCCCAGACACACATATACACATAAATAAAAATAAAAAATAAAATATGAAGGAATATGCAATTAGGACACTTCATTTAGTTAATAACCAAAGGGAGTAGGACTTAGAACCAAAATATCTATAAAAAAGCACTGCATCTTGAAATATTTAGAGAATATTTTTTCTATTGCTTTATGGAAAATCACTGGATGATTGTTGTACTGGAAGCAAACAAAACCCACATATTGCTTCTATTAAAAAGTATATGTGTTAGAAATATAATTAAACATGCATTTTATATTGTTTGTGTTAGAGTATTATGAATAGATATGTCTACAAATTTAATTATTGTTGTAATAGAATCATGAATATAACATTCTAGTTAGTTTTATATTATTTTGAATAGTGAATACTTATTAAAAATCATTTTTCTTATTTTACAGAATGACTCAGAAAAAATGCACAAAATCTCAACACAGTGGGCAATCCTCTGCTTATTTAAGGGTACTTGTTTTTTTTTACATTTCCTTATTATGTGGGGGCACACATGCTATGGCATGCATGTCAGAGGAGCTTGTGGGAGCTGGTTCTCTCCCACCACACTGTGAGTTCTGGCATGTGTGAGCTCTGGGACTCGAACTCTGGTCGTCAGGCTTGCTAACCCTCCTCCTCACCTCTCCAGCCGCTTCAGTGAAATTTGTCTTTATTGGACATAGCCAGAGCCCTCTACCCTCAGCTCAGTTGATTCTGTGAGATATTTGCGGCTTTGGGCTTTTTCTTACAGGCAGGAAATCTGCAAAAGCAATTTATGCATTTCTTTTAGGCAACTTGGAAGTTAGGTGCCATTTCTATACCTGTTTGAACCCAGTGTGAGAAAAGCCAGGCCAGCATAGCACTGAGCCTGTATTAGTGTTAAATGACAGCCCCTCCAGTGTCTTTGCCTTGGTTAGATGATGGCTGACCACCAGTAGCTAGAGTGCCGTAACCAAAGCATTGTCTATAAACAGAAAGAAATGTCTTCTTTACCATGTGGTGCTTCTGTTTTCTATAACTGACTTTCTCACTGTTCTAATTTTGTTCTGTTTCTACCTTAGATCACCTGTAATCACGTGCTGAGGTCACAGGTTGTGACTTCACTCAGTATTTACTCCATCCAGCATGGGAGCTAAGGATGCATGGAGGCCTGGCTGAGTGTCCCCCAGGAAGGAGGGAAAGCAAAAATTGCAGAAGTGCAAACACAGCCTTTGGAAGTTCTGTGGATATATAGTCCCTCTAATCCCTGGGTGGAGACAAGTCCCATGCTGACTCTGGGCAGGGTCTGCCTGTGACTGGAGTACGGTATAGATCTGAACCAGGCTCACCTAGAAACATGGGGTCTGCCAGCTGCCAATCACCCACAGACTTTTATTAAATTTGAATGTTAAACAGACACCTACCTTCTCTTCTTTTATAGTTCTTTTTTCCTCTCTGTCTACTAACTTCATAATTTCCACCAAAAGATCCACCTGGAACAGAGCAAAGAAAAACCAACCACTTTGAATCCTGTTTGCAGACCATGTGAAGATTTGATTAAAGGGGAAAAAAATGGTTCTCTTTCTGGAGAATGCATGGCTTAAAAAAAATCTACCATTTGAGGTTCTGAAATTACCCTAAAAACTAAACAGCCGACATTAAATGACATTTCCCAATATTTACTGCTGGCAAACGAAAGCATAGTCTTCCAAAATAGACTATTTTGAGTATAATCTACAGACATTTTACTTGTATTTTTCCTCAGCTCCACAGAAGAATTTGGCTGCCTTGAGGCTTTATGTATGTGTTACTTTCCAGAAATGTAGCAAAGGTGACATCACAGTAGAGTTCCCATCGCACAGACCTTGTAAGGCACAGTGTGCAGAAGAACAGTATGCTTGAAACACAGACTATTAACCAAGAGTCTTCTTAAAGTGGTCTGTGGAATCTGATTTTCTTTATTGTCGAAGGGCTGTCTGTGAAGACACTGGCTTATGCATACACACATTCTTTTCTAATTAATAAAACCTCTTCTCTCTTCTCACAATGACTCAAGAGGAAACATGAAGAATGCACCTTAGTAAAAAGCTTCTATACGGGCTGGAATTCCAGAGGCTTGTGATTCCATTCCCAGCACCCACATGGCTGCTCACAACCATCTATTAACTCCAATTCCAAGGGATCTAGTGCCCTCTTCTGGCATCTGTAGGCACTGCACTTACGTATACAAACATATATAAACATATATACAGGTCAAAACACCTGTACACATAAAAGTTAAAAAAAAAAGAGAGAGAAAATAGGAAAGGAAGGAAGGCAGGGAGAGAGGGAGGGAGGGAGGGAGGTAGGGAGGGAGGAAGGAAGGAAGGAAGGAAGGAAGGAAGGAAGGAAGGAAGGAAGGAAGGAAGGAAATTTAAGAAAATATTGACCAAAAGCAACTTGGGGGGGATGAGAAGTTTATTTGGCTTACAGGTTACATGTAGTCCATCACCGAGGGAAATCAAGGCAGGAACCTGGAGGCAGGAACTGAAACAGAGACAATGGAGGACTGCTGCTTACTGGCTGGCTTGGTCCCCAAGGATTGCTCAGCTACCCTTCTTGTTCAGCCCAGGACCACCTCACATGGGTAACTTGCCCACAGTAGATTGAGCCTTCCCATGTCAATCATTTGTGAAGAAAATGCCCCCACAGACAGGCCCACATGCCAGTCTGATGGGGTAATTCCTCAGTTGAGGGTCTCTCTTCCCAGGTGACTCTAGTTTGTGTTATGGTGACAAGAGCTCCCCAGCACAACGTGGGAGCACAGAAGTCTGTGCTGATCTCATAGCATATCCTTCCTTGGAACTTCATAGGTACCAGAGATTAGGAAGTAGGGGGAGGGAACACACCAGACAACTTGCAAAGTTCTCAGGCGTGCAACAATATAGAATTCTTTGTATCTATTTTTAATAAGTATTTCTTTTATTTTTGAGATTAAAATATAATTATGTCATTTCCCCTTTATATCTTTTTAAGGCATTATTTTCTCTTCCTCTTTCACTCCCTGATTTTTTTCTTTCCTCCCAGTTTCCCCAAGGAAAAACAACATGTAAGATTATACAATTTGAAAACAGAGTCTTCTGACAACAATGTTTAAGTAAGTGCTATATATAACAGTGTAATAAAGTCTCTTTTGTTTTGACCTAACTGCAGATAAGAAAAACATCCCACACATTGAAAGTATTTTCATCTGCTCAGAGTTCTAGGAAAGCTATTTATCCCAATGGCTCATCTTCCAAGCCATCACAGAGTTATGGTCTTAGAGCAGAACGCAGAGCATCTGGGAGCGTGACTGCTCACCACACCCCAGGATTCCCGGGGGAAGGGCAGAGCTTCCGGTGGCTGCTGCCCTCTGTTGCTGCTGGCCCCATGCACCTCCCCATGGGATTCTGGAACTATTTGGCTTTGCTCTCTAGCCACCTCTCCACTGAGGATGAACTAATACAAACCAAAGAAGCCTACAGCTTGAACCTGCATGCTTCACACGTGGGAGCAGAAACTCAGAGGCCAGAGAAGTATTTCTGAAAGCACATAGAGATGACATCCCATGGAAAGACAAGTTTCCCGTGGACCATGAACCAAAGGGGACAGTTTCCTGTGGCTTCCATGTCTAGGAGATAAACTCTGTGCACTAAGAAGAAAGGAATAAAAGGCATGTTGAACATGCCTTGCTCAGCTGACCAGACTCTCAATGGAAAGGACAGTACAGGAAAGATTTTTTTAGACCAGCTTGAGTTTCTGTGATTAATTATTCTTCAAATAATTACTTATAGACCAGGAACTCTTGACAAAACCAAACTGAATTTATAAGACACAGCCGGAGACTAGTTAACTCGGTTGGAACAACTGATACAGAAAATGTCATAGAATCTTATTGAAATTATCTATTCTTTGTTTCTACAGTCCTAGCTGATGAGTCATAGGGTGATGCCCTGGGATCTTCAATTCTTCTGGCAGAGCCTGTAATAAAGAATAAAGATGTTAAAAGTCAAACGCCTAGAGAATTCTAGCACAGGTGCTCCCTGGATGTCCTGCTTCTGAAGGGATGAGGCTGACATGTAGTCTTTGTGTGGTCTGAGTAGTCTGCAGGGATGCCTGTTTGGGGGTATATTCACCCCATGATTTCCAATGTGTAGACTTTACTGGTTAACTAAAATACACGCTGATTTCCCAGTTCATGTAACAGAAATAAAGCGAGCTGCCCCAGGTTAGGAGCTGTCCAGGTTAATGGTTCTGTGCTTTAATATGTAAGCAGGAGAGCTGATCATTAACCTTGAATAAGGAAGCGTGCAGGACACTGAGCACACTTCAGGAAGAAAGAAGCCCCGCTATGTTAGCCGAGCGGGAAGGCTGCCCAGAACATGTCCCCTGCCATAAGATTAGTTTGGGAATTAGGGATTTATGGTGCTTATCCCTCTGGATGAGGCTTGGCAGGGTTCCCTGGGTCTGCAGAAATAAACTGCCGAGAGTGAAAGAAAGCAAAGCCTGGGGTAGCTGGATGGCAGCTCTCCTGTCCCTGAGCCACGTGAATGTCGAGCTCTGGAGTCTACCCAGGTGCTAGCCTGGGCAGAGTTTCTGTATAAGGACAACACAGCTGGCCCGCTGTGCGTCCTGGTGGCCAGCTTCACTGGGAGTGGAAGTGAGACATGGGTGGGATGGAGGTGCCATCCTCTCAGCCTCCTGTAGAGCACTCATTGGTCCCTCCCCTCTTAAGGTGCCTGTATCCACCAGATTTGAAAGGAAGCCGGAATGGGTTTGATAACAGTCACAGAGATGATGGGCAGATTTAGAACTGATTTAGGATTGCAGATATTCCTCCAAATCAACACCCAGCTGCATGAAGGCAAAGGAGAGGGAGCTGAAGTGCTGGCAAGCAACACTTCTTCCAAGGTAAGTCCATCAGAACACACCCGCATCCAAAGCCAAAATGAGCAAGACTCATTGCAGTACAGGGAGATCACTTCTAAGAGCTGCTGTGAAAGGGGGTGCCTGGATTAGGAGGAGGGTTTTCTTTCTTTCTTTCTTTCCTTCTTTCTCTCTTTCTCTCTTTCTTTCTTTTATTTAAAAGGTGTTTTTTTTTTCATTTTACATACCAACCACAGTTCCCCCTCCCTCCCCTCCTCCCACTCACCCCCCACCTTACTCCCACTCCAGCCCTCATTCACTCCTCAGAGAGGGTAAGGCCTCCCATGGGGAGTCAACAAAGTCTGGCATATCAAGTTGAAGCAGGACCAAGCCCCTCCCGGCTGTATTGAGGATGAGCAAGGTGTCCCTCCATAGGAAATGGGCTCCAAAAAGCCAGTTCATGTACCAGCATAGATCCTGGTCCCACTGCCAGGGGCTCCACATACTTTCCCAAGCCACACAACTGTCACCCACATTCAGAGGGCCTAGTTCAGTCCCATGCAGGTTCCCCAGTGGTCAGTCCAGAGTCAGTGAGCTCCAGCTAGTTTGGGTCAGCTGTCTCTGTGTCTTTCCCTATCATGATCTTGACCCCTTTGCTCATATAGTCAGGAGGAGGGTTTTCTTGTTACGGAAAATGAAGCAGTTTTTAAAGTTGGACTAGACATTCTCTTCATCATCCCCAATACCACGTGGAATGTCCAAGCCTGCTCTTTGATGCCCTGTTGTCCTTTACAACAAGAGAAAAATCTATTGCAAACACTCACCAATGACCTCATTTTCTAGCATTTTAACAGAACATATTTATAGCTTACTGATGTTGTCCTCCCTCTCTTCCTCCCTCCCTTCACTTCTCCCTCCCTCCTTCTCCTCTCCTCCCATCTCTTTCTCCCTCTCTCTTTCCTCCCCCTCCTTGTTTTCTTTTCACCATTTTTATTTCTCCTCCCTACTTTCCTCTCTCTTACTTTCCTGTCTTCTTCCTCACACCCCTCTTCCACACTAAAAGAGACCTAGTAGGTCAGAATAGCCTGGATTTCATGATATTCATTCAAGGGCGTGTGTGTCCTGTGCGCATGTGTGCATGCAACTGCCCATGCCTGTGCAGGCTAGAGGTCAAGCTAGGCATTTAGCAACCGAGTCTTGCACTGGCCTGGAGCTCTCCAAGTAGGTTAGGAAGGCTGCCTATCAGCTCAGGACCCTTCTCTCTCCACCTCCCAATTGTTGGGATTACAGGTGCGTGCCACTCTGCATGGCTTGGTTCGGGGGTCCTCAAACCAAGTAAGCACTTTATATTGACTGAGCAAACACAGTAAGCACTTTATATTGACTGAGCCAATTACTTTGTCTTCCAGAGCGTATCTTTAGAAACTAGAAGAAAAGTCAAGTTCAGACTCCTGAGTGAGTTGCTGCTGTGACCCCAGCTCTTCTTCCAGCTGCAGAAACATCAGCTGATGGCTACCTTCCTTAGTACGCCTGAGCTAGGAAGACAACCTTTACATTGTCAACAGTGAGTAGAGGCTATGTCCGTCCCTTTGAAACATCGTGCATGTTACTGAAGGAAACAGCCATTGCGTGTCTCCTGAATGTTTAGTGTAGCGATTTCTATGAAGATCTCTGCTGTCTGGATAGCATCACTTTTATGGGGTGTCATATCAACTCACAGTGGACTGTTAAAAGCACAGTCTGGTATGTTTAAGTGACATGTTTCTCCAGCTCAAGAATTATAGTAGCCTAGCCTAATATGCTAGCAAACACCTGTGATCTTAGCATTTGCGAGACTGGAGCGAGCTACATACCAAGACCTTCTCTCCACAAAAGAGAAAGAGAAGGAGGAAGAAGAGGAAGAGGAGGGAGCTGACTTGAAATTACTGTGCATGGCTTCCATCTGGTCTTGAGCATTGGACTCTGGTCCCCTCATAACCATCAACTCAGCATGTGACTCCAGTGTGTTGGATCCTATAAGCTCAACACTGAATAACATAGAAACTATGGACAGGCCTCAATGTGTGAGGAAAAGGCCCACAGATATGGTGATGGCAGGACGGTGTAGCTCAAACTACCTCACTTGCAAGCAAGGAGCAATCCCAGTGTGAATGTAAGCCCTTCCCCACACAACGGAGTAATAAGGACAGACAGATCCATGTGGGTGTCTCACCTTAAGCTCTGCACCCATTCAGGCCTGCCAGGCAAAGTCTAAGGCTGCCAGTTCTATTGGATGCTACATAAGCAACAAAACATTTTCAATGTAAGGTCCATGCATGTGTCTTTCTTACATTCATGTGTCTTACCTACATGCATGTGTCTTACTTACATGCATGGGTCATACTTATTCCAAAAATATACCCATTAGTCATTTGAAAATCAGACTTAAATAGTAATCCTGATTTTCTTTTCATTCCCCAACATAGCCACCCCGTGATATCACATACTCACCCATCATACTCAGTCAGCTGGCAATGATGGTACATTTGTCTTCACTCTTTTGTCCTAATCAGCCTAAATCCTTTTGTTGGTGGTGGTTTTTTGGTTTGTTTGTTTTGTTCTTTTGGGGGTCTGACACCCAGCTCCC